ACTTACCAGATGAACAGGTAAGAAAAAAAATGCAATTTCTGAATGACTAGGCAGATGCGATGCTTCACGAAACAAAATAAAAAATAGTGTATATAAGTGTACCGTATGTACAGTAGAATTTGTAGTAATATTCGTGAGAAAATAACACAATATTCATGTGACACAATTAAAAACAAACAAACATATATGTGTGCATCTAAGTAGAAAAAAATGTGTACGAAAAAAAGAAGAAAAAAAAAAAACAATCTGGAGTATCTGAGATTAAAAGGATGTTCATTAAACAGCGAAGGATGAGTATAATGTGCAGGTTTAGGATGACTGTACATGTGTTTGTGATAGTGGCCCTCATACTTAAGAAACGTGATTGGCACGTGTTAGGAAAGTGGAAGGGAGAGGGAAAATGAGGAGTGTTATCGATAAACAACACGAATACGCCTTTTCATGCCTAAATGGAAGACGAGGAGAATCGGCGCAAGAAAACAAAACAAAAGAATATGTTCTGTTTAGCGTCCCGTAAAAAATATTTTCGAAATGTTTTTTTTTTTTATCCTGCGTCACCCTCTCTCCGGACGAGGCACGTTTTCCAAATAAATTTCAACGATACGTGTTTTTTTCTGTATTCTTATTGTTCTGATGAGATGTTATTCATGGAATGGAAAACTAAATGATCAATGGTATTATAAATAAGACTGTCGCCATGAAAATCAATAAAACCTGCCAGAACAGCCAGTTTCGAGTTACGGTTTACGAGGAAAGTAAAGTTGGATCGTAACCTACGAGCCTTTTATATCACGACGCTGACATACATGTTTTTTTTTTAAGCGATTTAGTATTTACTTCAAAAACTACATTCGCATACTTGATTTATTTACTAGTTATCTCAATTATTTTTTTACAACTATAGCAGATTCCATATTCCATAAACTCCAGTCCATTGGAGAACTGGACGACGATCAGATGTAAGAGAAGCAATCTACTCCATTCTGTACAGTGTCTGGAACTTTGCAGTCAAATGACTTTGTTGACTACGAATTTGTTGCAAGTGCTCACGGGCATAAAGTGACACTTCAACTTTTAGTTATTACTATTAGTACAAGTGTTCACAGTGAGCTAAGGTGACATCACAAGTTTAGCGGATTGGTGAAACATTGAAGACAAATATGAGTGTCACTTTGATTGAGAAGTCGAGAGGGTTCGCACATTTCCACACGGAAATCTTACTGAAAGAAGTATATTTAGCACTTTTCATCAAATCTACTTGCCAAGCCGCTGACCCAAATAGGACCATCTCGACAAATCAATACACTTCATTGCTTCCTACGACTTACGGACACAAACTCACAGCCAATCATCATAGCGAAGATTGTGAAAATCTTCTCCAGTTCTGTGGTTGGGGACACGTTGCCAAAGCCAACCGACGTAAGAGACGAGAAAGTGAAGTACAGGCCCGTGATGTAGCGAGACTGAGGGATGAAAAAATGAAGGAGAGACCACCCCAAAACGTCGCTGCACTTGAGAGGGACTATCTGAGTGGAGCACTTGGGGGCCGGAAAGCAAGGAGCGGGACTCGCGTGATCCCTCACTCAATGACAGGGATCCGTAAGATAAAGAAAGAGATAACAGGGATCCGTTAGATAAAGAAATAGATGACAGGGATCCGTTAGATAAAGAAATAGATGACAGGGATCCGTTAGATAAAGAAAGAGATAAAGATATGAATCAGCTTAGTGACAGGAACAGTTTGCAGCCCTTGGGTAGTTGGAACGTATGTCGACATACGAATTCTAGGCAATTGTCGCAACGGAGGGGGAACTCCGACTCATGACGGGTCAATGACAAAGAAAAGAAAGGTCAGGAATTTGATGTAATTCGGGGTCATTATATTCTTAGGTCAGTCTTATCTAATATTAACTGAGAGGGAGGTATGGGGGAAAGGGAGAGGGAGAGGGAGAGGGAGAGAGAGAGAGAGAGAGAGAGAGAGAGAGAGAGAGAGAGAGAGAGAGAGAGAGAGAGAGAGAGAGAGAGAGAGAGAGAGAGAGAGAGAGAGAGAGAGAGAGAGAGGAGGAGAAGGAAGGGATAGTGGGAGAGAAGGCAAAGTAAAGAAGATAGTGAAATAGAAGAAGAGAAGAAGGAGAGAGAGAGAGAGAGAAGAGAGGGATGGGAAAGGGAAGGGGTGCTTGACATTCTTCGCGGCGACACGGGGGTAAGTATTCATATCAAATTCCTATTTTGGCTTTAACAATCAACACCATGATGATACGTGAATACTACAGTACGTGGACAAGGGCAGTGATATTATGCTTTATCGAACTGTCAAGAGGTATATCATATAAACAGATGACGTATCACTTTTGGTGAAAAGTAGACGAGAGGAAAGAAATATCTTCCTCCCCAAAAAATAATCATACACTTGAACTAGGGAACTCAAGAAAGAATCAGACTAAATACCTCTCGACATTCCACATTCCAGCGGGAGTGACCGCGTGTATTTCTTTTCTTTCTTTTTTGTTTTTTTTTGTCAGAGTTCCATATTGTCCAGCGACTTACATCCCATCAACATGAAGAGGATGGTGAAGACCTTCTCCAGGTCGGTAGTTGGGGAAACGTTGCCGAAACCAACACCAGTGAGGGCAGTGAAAGTGAAGTACAACCCGGTGATGTAGCGGGACTGAGGGGTGAAATGTACTTCAACTGAGGGATGGGATGTACCGAGATTGAAAGGAGGGGAGGGGAGGGGGGTACTGGGGTCCACTGGGCATGGCACAATGAGACACGATAATGTTTGGGGCAAAAGGCACAATGAGAGACGATAATGTTTGGGGCAAAAGGAACGTTATGTGGTTAAGAGGAAACGGCGTTGGACGATGAAACAAAAGGAGAATCACTGAGGTTAAACTGGGGAAAAAAATGCAATAATCCAAAAATTTCATACATCCCATACATTTGATGTCAGCGGTAGAGAAAGAAGGTAAGTAAATGTGTATTTGAAATTATGGAAGAAAAATGAATCCTAAAACGAATGAGAAAATAGTAATGAAATCTCTATGCAAAACTTCAGAGTGAGAAAGGAGGGGGAATTCTGGGAGACTGATCATTTTATGGACATATAGTAGATGCTGAAGTGAGTTATTTTCTTAACTTTTCTTCAAGTTTTCAATTTTCTATCCATATACCCAACACCTTCATTTTTAGCCGACCTACTACTACAGTAAACAATCAGAAATCCTGAGAACCATCCATGTCTGAAATGGTTTGTTCCGTGGCAGGACTTATGACCGCTTCTGTACAGCTACCTCCCAGGTTTACACCTCGCTTTTATATGTTTATTAATTGATTGATTCATTTTTACTAATCCTGACACTTCGTCACTGGCCAACGATGGTCAGCCTGAGCGAGAAATACAGTGAAAAGGAAATGTTGACACTCACCCTCAGCGTCGGCCCGCCCGTACTGTTGCTGTAATAGTACTGGTGCGTGGCGTTGGCGAGGTGGTCCAACCATCCGATCTTGTGGAGGAGCCCCGGCCGCTCAGCGTTGCCAATGGCGTACCTGTATGGGGTGAGGTGAAGGGAAGAGAGAAAGAGGTGAGTGAGAATTTTTTTTTTTTTTTTTTTTCAATCTGATGATCTATGTACGCTAACATGATTCCATGAAGACTAGATTTGAATTTCTGTTGGTCCATGTAGACGTACACGGCAATTCCATGAAAAAAATACACGGCAATCCACAAAATTGAATTTCAGCTGCCCCGTGTGCACGGTGATTTCACAAGAACAACCATTCATGAAACAGAAACAAGTAGTGCAGGGAGACATTTCATTACCCAGGGAAGTTGAAAGGAAATATTTGGAAAACCTGACATTATTCGTATTCAACACAGGGGAATATGCAGCGAAATGCCAAGGCCGCAGGGGAAAACAGGATAATCTTACCAAATACACGCGAGCCAGTGAGCGATGAGCGCAAAGGTCGCCATGAGCAGGAGCAGGACCGCCGCGCCATATTCGGAGTACCTGTCGATCTTCCGCGCGACTCTGACCAGACGGAGGAGCCTCGCCGTCTTCAGCAGACCGATGAGGGTTGTGGTCTGGAGTTCAGGAACGGCAAGACAATCAGCAGCGGTCTTTGGTGCGGCGAAAAGACCAATACGCGAAGTGTGGTCCAAGGGCTTCGTGAGGTCGCCACTGAGCCAGGTCAAGAATATCACGCATTTGACCTCCTTGGCCCAGCTTCGTGGCACTCACAGGCCACTTGAAACCAGACCTCACGTGATGGCTTGATAAAAAAAACTAAAACTACTTCCAGTGTCCTTAAACTCGGAAAGACTGGGTATTGTGCAATTAATAATAGGAGTTTAAAGTTATTGCTTCTTAGTTTATCAGTACTGATGGAATAGAATTGCAATCAATAATAAACTTGACTTCTCCCTGGATTACTTTATGCATGTAAGTTTATCTACTTTGTTACAGCTATAATCTTTATTCCTTTATCAGTTCTGATTCATAAAATGCCAAAACATTTTTTTAAGATAGTGAAATGTCATCAGACTATATCATATCTGGACAAAGTGAAAACTAATGAAAATACGTATAATACAAGATGCAACGTTTGATGTATTGGAACTGGTTATCCAAAGAGGTGATAAATACACAAAAATATTTTAGAGTGATTGATTTATGACACTAACCATGAGATGGGGATCAAGGCCAATGGTGCAACAGAACCACATGTCCTTGACTGCAAGTTGCAAATGAATGACTTATAGGAAGACAGATGAAGGCAACTATAGTAGCTTTGAGTACTCATAATGATGAAAGAAGTAAAACCTCCCACATAGCCTAGGGAGGAGTACATGCAGTATGGTTATTTTATCATTACTGTATCTTTTTTTCTAGTACTTATTTCCGCTGATCCATTCATCTGTACTGTTCTCATGGAAATTATGGTTCAACCGAAACAAGCTCTAGTTTGTGAAGGAACGGAAAACTTTTCGCTAACTGTATGTTGACAAAGTGACGTATGTGGTAGAGCAGATAACATCACTTTACTCTCGTGTTTGGGTTAAGCATTCAATACTGAGTGATAATTCATGACCCTCAGGCAGTTTGTGGTTGACATTCTGGGCAAAAGAGAAAGTACTGCGGTACATGTAGCAGTTTTAAAGGCTACTGAAGAGGGATTCATTTAAATACTGGACTGATGATGTCTACAATGGAAGTATAGGACTTCTATAGGACTTCCAATCCTAAACTACAATTTTTTATAGCCTTAGCTACTACAGTAATAGTTGAGGATATGGTAATTATTCAAGCGATATCAGTTAGTCATATTGGATACAGATATGTAAGGGATGTTTTAAAGAAAGTCTTCAGTGTTGTGTTGAACTAGTTTGGACAGCTATGATTGTGTTATTAAAGATTTTTAAAAATAGATATGGAAAATTACGAAGAAGGGAAATACCGGGCCCTTAAAACCTTTAATTCTAACCTTCTGCGACATGCCCGTGCTAAAAGGATAATATTCGAGGTCACCAATCACAGTCTGTCATGAGAGCATAACACTTGGTCAAAAAAATTAGGGGCTACGGACACATTCATTATTCGACGAGCATTTAAGAAAAAACTATTAAGAGTTATATTTTAATGTATTTTTTATGCGTATTCATTACCATAATTCTGGTATGAGGTTTGAAGAGAAACGCAACGATTGAAAATAATAAAATTAGTCAAGTGAAAATACGCAGTGACAGACTGGGATTGCTACCAAGTGTAAAAAATAGGGAAGGGTGGCCATACCTCATTGTTTTATATTCCATTGACAAAGTACCCAACTTGAACACGATCAGTGACAATATAACGGATGCGTCCAGAAAAATAAATAGAACATCAAATGAGAGAAATTCACTTACCAAATCCACTGCTTATCATGAGGTTTGATTCAACAGGATTAGCAAATGGCAGACGAACATGATCAAGAGGGCTTTCCTGGACGCAACCGATATTGACGAATAGATATTCTACAGGAGGGTATTATGCCCAACACATGTGGGTTTCTTTTTCCTTATATAATTTGAACAATCTCTGGTAGTCCGGGGCATATTATTCTACACATTCATAATTAGTGATGAGGGTTCTACTTGGCGAGCAGAGCAACAGAAGAACTAGGACGCAAAGAGTCAATCGACACCTGATTTGAAACAGAAAAATGTACACTAAAAAAAAAAAAAAAAAAAAAAAAAAAGAAAAAAAAAAAAAAAAAAGAAAAACAAGAGTATCAGTTTCATGAAAAAATAGATGATACAAAAGAGCTCCAAAGTAAACCATGATAAACACAATTTTTTTCAACACAAGAAAAGAGGGAAATATATAAACAAGTTGACTTCTTGCGAAAACTTTCTTATAAACGCCATGTTATATTTTAGAGACTGAAAACCTACAAAGCTCTTTCTTGCAAGTTATTAATAGCCCATTGCAAGTTGAACGAAATCTGCTGCAGTGCTCTAACACACAATTCTATAAAACTTTACCAAGTCCTAACAGCCATTCTCTGCAGTTTCATCAAAGCAGTCAAAATCATTTATACTCTGCAATAAAACAAGAACACGAAAAGAAGAAAACTTAATGCGAATTAAACACAGAGTAACGACCACAATTTTAAATCCTTATTTATTGATATTTTGAACATGGTCTCCAGAGGGGTCTGCTAACTAGAAAACAAACCCTCTGGCTAACTACCAGTAACGACCATTTACCTATTCCGTTGGTGAGTTATTATTCACTCCATGGCCTATACCTTTCATTTTTTTCACGTTTGTTTTATAATTATTTTCTTAAATGGAGTTACCTATTGTTACTCAGCAATATGTATCTAACTGATATATTACCAAGTACCTAGACCTTCAACAAGCCAACAGTTATCACATCTAACTGTAGCGCAACAGACACCCAATGCAAAATGGTCTTATAATTATAATTACGGAACAGAATGTCTCTGATGCTGGAAAAAGACGGAAATTATATAGAACACGTTTAATTACATGAATCTCATTATCACGGTGCTAATTAAAGAGCAGAACTTCGCTTATAACAATATGGTTGTTATTTCACTGTCCAATTATCAAATCAAATAAATTTTGGAAAAAATAGGTTTGTAGGTGACTACAACCTTTCGTGTGATGAGATCAACTAAAACTTTATGACTGATGTCTATTTATTTGTCATTAGACTGCAGATGTGTATCCAAATCTATTTTCTAACGTATATACCCTAACTAAAGTTTTAGGATCTTCCAAACAGGAACGAAATTCTGCTGTTATTGTACACACAATCGTGTGTGTGTGTGTGTGTGTGTGTGTGTGTGTGTGTGTGTGTGTGTGTGTGTGTGTGTGTGTGTGTGTGTGTGTGTGTGTGTGCTATATATATGCATATATATATATATATATATATATATATATATATATATTATATATATATATATATATATATATGTAACACACATGTGCACGTTTGTGTATATCGATGTACCTGTAAAAATCCTGCATATTTAATTTGTATTTCCTGATTGGCTCAAGACAAGTTCAGATCCAAACGATTTTCATTGACCGATTCAACAACTTGCGTAATTCCCTGCAATGCAAACAGAAACTTGATCTACCTAAGTTATCAACGAAAACATTTACTAATGTTTAATTGCAGCTTTATTTTACTATATAATGGCTCTCGGAACACATGGTCTTAAATCATGGTTATTTCCAAGAACAAATCAACAGCATGAGAGAGAGAGAGAGAGAGAGAGAGAGAGAGAGAGAGAGAGAGAGAGAGAGAGAGAGAGAGAGAGAGAGAAGAGAGAGAGAGAGAGAGCGAGAGAGAGAGAGAGAGAGAGAGAGAGAGAGAGAGAGAGGAAGAGAGGAGAGAGAGAGAGAGAGAGAGAGAGAGAGAGAGAGAGAGAGAGAGAGAGAGAGAGATTCGAAGAGAGAGAGAGAAGAGAGAGAGAGAGAGAGAGAGAGAGAGAGAGAGATCCAACAACGGCTGGCCACGAAACAACACAAGTACAGTGTAGCAGCAAATTATAATTTCGATGACACAGAATTACGCTATTTGAGAAGAAAAAGTCTGCTCTTATATATGCTCTAGCGCGTAAAAAAGGAAAATGAATCCATAATTCTGTATCACTAATATATAAGTCAGCATATTCCCTCGTTTTAGAAATACACAAAGCATGGCGCCACTTTCAAAAGATTATAAACGAGATTTACACTGTGCAGCATAAAATATTGTGCACCAACTTTCCGGAAATAAAATAACATGAAAAAATAGTCCTATTCACTATATTACCAATCTAGCAGTTAAATGATAACTTTAGCTACTTTCCTCGAAATATTTCAGTCCAGAAGCATATTAACGCAAGCTCAAATTTGATAAACTACTTGCACTTTTGATGATAAATGATAAAAAAAAATCAAGAACTACTTTTGATTACCTAGACTGAATTCCACATCTAACTTTAATTAATTAGATAACAAAAAACATACTTTAAAGCATCCGAATTTGTGCATGCGGAAGCTAGCCATCTAGTAGACGAATAAAAAAATATATATATATTATCATAAGCTGCCATGATATACTATACGGATTTTTTTTTTCAATTTCATAACCACTATTGGTACATCTGTCCGATGGATGAGATACATCGAAGAAAAATAAAAAATAAAAAAAATTGTTTGATACCAATACCAAAATGCAATAATTTGGGTATGAACGATGACCAGATCTACATGTAGGAATCAGTAAGAAAGGCGAACGAGTCTGTCCTATGGAAAAATATTTTCATGAAAAAAATAACGATTTTAACAACTGCTCTGCAAGTGAAAGCTTAAAAAGGGTCTGTCCGCTGCTCGCCATGAAGGGAGGGCCGAAAAAGAAGGGTTACCAAGCCAGTTAATATTCGGCTGAAGGAAAAAAGGGACAGACAGATAGAACTACATGATAAAGACGCGGTTGTAATCTCTGTATTAAATCAGGTTTACACAAAGCCTAAGAAAAATAAGGAAGAAACTATGCTGAGACAGGCAAGTACCGACACAACTACGAGCCACACTACATCCTGCGCAGAGCAGCGTGAGAGGACACCTGAGGCCTGAATTATTTCTCTGACAGAACAATGCGTGCTGGATCTCCCGCCCTTCCGTTCCCCGAGCGGCGCCCACGGCCGGGGTGCGCAGGCCACCACGGCCGTGCGGCGCAGCTTTCAGAGGTGCGACAAGGGCCGAGGGGAAGATCGCACAAGTATGCTTCTTCCACTGATAACTTCTCTCGGAATGTGTGCCCCGCCCCTCCTCCATCACCCCCGACGCATGGAACTGAGATGCTGCTCAAAGGGCGTCTGAATTCCGTGATGAGCAAGAGCGACGCCGGTGCAAGGCCTAGCTATTTGGTCGAAGGACGGAAGGCACTCGAAAGAATGATCTTTGGCTTTAAGAACAAGTTTACTCTTTAGTGAGCCAGGCTGAGAGGCCCTGAAAGTGACACATGATGCAGCTAGTGTCTGTTGTTCTGCCAGGTCTGAGACAGAGGATGGACACTACCAACGTTCACCGAAATACTCCAGGTTATGTAGAATAATATGGCTACCCGAATTACCTTCTCATTTTCCTGGATTATGCATGGAAAAGTAAGAAAATAATTAGTATTTTTTTTTTTACTTCGATAGCGACAAGAGGCAGGGTCAGGCCAAAGATGAAAGAGCAAAGCAACGGGTCAAAATCTTGCAGGGAAAATGTTGACCCGCTGCCCAGCCATGCACTGCTGGCAAGAAGCTAGCACGTCTCCGTAGACTGTAGAGCACGGCGCATGCGCAGTCAGTTACCCTGCTGAGTCCTGTGCACCCTTTCAGGATCGTCGGAAATGCAAAATAATGATTCAACACTTATGGAAATAAAAAAATAAAAGTTTAGGACAAATAGACAAACATCCGATCAATGTCAAACAGGGTGTCAGAAAACCTAGCAGGGATTTTCATGGTGGATCTAAGTGAATGATTTAACTTAGTTTGGGAAAAAGGTGAACTACACTTTCATGATTCTGAAGTGACAAACACATTTTCGTAGTGTGACCTTTGCTTACAGATGATTAAACAATAATGTAGTTTACCCGTTAACAGGTGCAGTAAATGGCTTAACTATATGGGTGAGGCAAACATTGTGATCCTTAAGTAGTGATTAATTTATTAATTAGTACGTAATGGATCATGTTGCATGTTGCACATAGTAGGTGTCATGAATCACATGTGCAACTCATGAAAGCTTGATATGTAATTTTACCTTTTCATCTTCTGTCTCCTGCTGAAAAATGTCAGAAATACAATTAGTACATTCAGATATTGACAAACTATTATTATGGCGAGAGAAGTGTGGTCGTAAAGTAAATGGGAAAAGAGAGAGAGAGAGAATAGAGAGACCCATGTCGAGCGAACAGCAAAAAGCTCGTTTTCTTTGGCCATTACCGTTCACTCCCTTTATTTCTATTTTTTGTTTTACTTGTTTCTTCTGTTGATTCATTCTTTCTACTGATATATTCCCTTTTTGTTCTTCAGTTCAGGGTATTATTGGACCTATTTTTTCTTTTCTTGCCTTATTATTTAAACAATTATATTTTCCCTTCGTCATTTAAAACTAATAATATTTTAACACTATCTTCTGTTTTTTTATAGCCCCAGAATAATTAAAAATTAACATTAACAATTATTTCCTTCTTCTGCCTTTACTCAGTGCCCCTTGAAGTATTATAAATTCCCATTTTCTTCTATTTCCCCTATTTAAAAAAACCCGCCATGTCTCTCGATTTAACGGTCCGCCGGCAAACGGGAAGCAAGGCCGTGGTTTTATAGTCAGAGATGCATTATCTTTACAACTCTATTATCGTAATCCGAAACATTTTTGGTTTCGTTTCAACTCTGCTGAAAATGTCTGAGAGTTTAGGGGAAACGAGCCCAAAAGTTTAACGAGAGACTAACTTCGTAATAATAACAGAATATCATGGCTTTATTGTCATTATTCTAGTATTAATATTCATCATCATTATCTACATCAAATGATTATTTTCATTATCTGCATCATGTACCAACCGTGAAATTAGTGCGGGAAAGTAATTTTCTCTCATATTCATATCTGACGTTTATTTTTCCCACACAACAAAATAATTTCTATTCTATTCAATACATACCAAATTATCTTCAACTTCGAACGGAAATTTTGAATTATCACTCGCTAGTCACACATAAAACTTTCTTTTTTTCTTTTTCTTTCTCTCACTAATAAATCAATGATAAGATTTGATACGTTTTGACATGAGTCTCCCTCCTCTCTAGACCACTTAAATGTGCCTCATCTCATTACAGAAAAAATATATATACATACGAACTGTACCTAGCTGTGAATGATAATACTATAAACTAAAACCGTTACCTATTCACACACAAAAGAAGGAAAAGAAAAGAAAAGAAATAAAATGCTACAGAAGAGGGTTTTGAACCTTTCTTCATATATATATATATATATATATATATATATATATATATATATATATATATATATATTTTTTTTTTTTTTTTTTTTTTTTTTTTTTTTTTTTTTTTACTGGAAAATAATTTTGATATAAGAAATCATAGTACCCCTATCTTCACATTTCACTGGGAACATAACTATTGAAGGGAATAACCGGCCATGCCAATTAACATATATTTGTATATCTAAATGTCTAAAACAAAGTATGCCTTCCTGCGTCACTAGAAAAAATATAAATAGACACATAAAACATAGTAAATGTGGTGCTCAGTCATATCTCAATCTAATATAAATGACAAAGTGTTGACAAGGTGATGACACATCCAAAGTCGGGCATGTCTAACTTTTGCTATTGCAATAGAACACGACATAGCTTGAAAAGTGATAAGCAGAAGGCATTGCGAAGAAAATTATAACCACTATGCTCACTGAATGGACATATATATTCATGTATCTGTGCACAGAAAATATAAATAGTAATAATCTAACTCAAAATATTTCAATATCATAATACATTTTTTTTTTTCATTTGATTTGCAAACATCCTTACAATGCAAAACTTATATGAAAGAATTACCAACTGTTTGCTGCTTTTCGAAGTAAGAAAATGGTGACGGATTCATAATTATACATTAGTATTGTTATTTTTTTTAAATCATTAATCGCTGAAATTTTATAGAATGAATATAGTTTAGTTGAATTCTTATGAGAATTAACCATATATTCTGATAAAAGGTTTATGTTCCCAAAATTTCAACTAGAAAATGAGAATACATTACCTATATTTATCATGAAATAAGTTTACGTCATATTGTGAATTAAAAAAGATTTTGTACCGAGGCAGTTATCGAACTTGTAAAACAAAACACTAAACAGAGATACTTTTTTTTTTTTACAACTCCTGGCATGCTGTAACACTAACAAAGGTCACAATAATTCCATGCAAATTTCAGTCAACAGAAAAACGTAAAAAAGACAACACATGCTTGCTTGATTACAAGGGAAACCATCATCAGTTCCCTGGCTGAAATAACACCACACAGGAACATAAAAAAACACCAAACACGAACATATAATATAAGAACACCAATGT